TTGAACAAACTCGGTCAACTATTCAAACATTTTTTCTATATATGAGTTTTCGAAATTCAGAAGAAACACTAAGTCTTTGCCATAAAGAGTCGCAGCGTGCGAGTAGTGTTTCGGCCATACTTCGAGGAGAAAGCCGTCTCAGGCAACGGAGTATAGCGGTTCGAACCGTCCTGGGAAAAAGGCGTTTCGAACCATGCGGGATAAGGCAAATCGAATCATCCGGGGTAAGGCGGCTTGGTTTATATGGATTTAAACTGTTTGAAACGCCCGCTGGAACCGCATTCCGGTTAAAACGAGAATATTGGCGAAACGCCTGAGGAATGAGGAATTCGAACGAGGGTCGCGTCGTCTCAAACGACGTCCGGGGAACCGCGCGCAACTCACAGGGCGAGGGGCAGCAAGACGACGGAAAACAGGAGGAACAACTTTAGAACTGTGAAAGCAAAACTGCGCGCAAGGCTGCGCGTTATAGATCGCCACATTAAAGTGAAGAGGCTGGAAACATCCAGGCGAACGTCTAGGTATCTGTTTGAGAGCCTCGGTACCGTTCACGAAAACGACGCGGCCATTCCACTTCACGTTTTGTCTGCTATCCGGGGCATTGGCCTTGAGTTCGCGTGCGGTCTTTCGTCAAGCCCAATCACGATGGGAACTCACTTTCGTCATGGCCCGTTTTTTTTCGCCACCGAAACACCGCTCGATGAGACAAGAAACGAAGCTGGGTTCAAAGTCTGTGCATTTCGAGGTCCAGAATAGAAATGTCCCATATTCGAAGGCTTGACAAGGTCAATCTGCCTCACGAGTCGTTGTAGTTCGTTCACGCGCTGCCCCATTGTCTCCGTTTCGAACATGGATGCAATCTGAAGGTTGGCGTTTTCCATTGCGCTGATCATCTGCAGGTCGTGCAGGTGGCGCATGGGAAAGGCCGAACCATGAAGGTGAACTTCGAGGTCAGAAAGGCTGGTTCGAACATCGGCAATTTCATCACGGGGGACACAGATTTCGCAATCTCCAATTTCGTCTCCGAATGCTTTTCTATTTTGAACGCCTCGAAATCGGACTTGGTTTCCACATCCTCTAAATTTGCAAGAATTGCATTTGCACCAGAGGCTTTGCCCGCAGGTGCATTTGCAAGGTCTGACGCCGCGTGCGCTGGGGCAGCAGCGACGCCACACAAAAGGGCCAGCGCTCTGCGCAGCCAGGCATGCACCGCTCGCAAGAGGAGCAGCAAACGCTGGCTTTCGGCGTCTGGGATGGCATCGCTCCTGACTCCACTGGGAAAGCAGGGACACCTCGACCGGCTTCGCCGAGGAGGCTCCCGCTCTGACGCTTGGGAACGGAAGTGCCACCGCAAACTCTGGTGGGGCACTTCCGTCTTCCGTCAAATCGTCATGGTTTAATGTAGTCTTCTTGGAAGAAAGAAATTCCTGATCTGGTGACTTTTGCAAAGCGCCTTTGATTTCTGTCATCGGACGCTGCCAAATGTGCACATTTGTGTTACCACATTCCTTTCCATCAGTTCATGTTTGCGACAATTCAATGGACTTGTCCTTTTTTTTTATTTCTCGCAGTCATACATATATATATATATGTATGTATGAAGGAAGAACTTGCTGAAATAGAGTGCGACAACCTGCCTCGAACAATTACACAGACGGAGTGGCGACGCTGCCAGCTTTTCTTTGTCGTACGCACTTCGCCGCGAATGAATCAAACCACAGTTGAGTCTCAACCTAATCTGAATGCACGAGCAAATGATTGCCTTGAAGAATTGGGAAGGGCAGAGGGAGGGAGACAGGCAACACACACAAACATCTTCGTGCTCTAAGTTTCGGGACCGCGCGGAAACAACACTGTTGGCCGAAGGGGCTTTAAACATGTGGCAGACCACAGGGGAGAAGCGGAAAGGAGAGGGTGGAAGAGAGGGAGGAGAAAGAAGGAAGGAGGTCAGGGCGTGAGGTCAGCCACAAGCAGCAGATTACACATCGTGCATGTTATTTAAGGTTTTTTTGGGTTTGCGTCGGAATACGCTATTTGGTAGTAGTTTTTACGAGCGTACCGTGCCCAAAAAACCGCCGTAACGCAGATGCGCGTCTTTCAATGCACAAGGGTTTTCAGTGTAGCGAAGGGGCGAGGATAGTAGAGGGATGATAGCCTACAGTGAACAACGGACCTTGTTGAAATTGGCGGGCGTCCGCCGATTGCAAAAAAAAAAAAAAACCATGCCGCACGGCGAGATGCGCAATAGAGAGCTCCAAGAGACCATTTTCAGGGATTGCTTCATTTTTAGTGGGTCCGACTGAACATATTTGTTGTATGCGATGTCTGCGGTTCAGATGACGTATTGTTTTGGACAGTCGAATTTTCATACGCGTGCCGCCGCTGACATTGTACGCATGTATTGCGCTAGGGGACGCCTGACACATGCCCGAGGATCGAATGTGGAGAGTAGTCTGACACGGTGATTCTGCTGCGTGCGCAGAGAAACTTGCCCTACCAGAGCGTCGAGAACAACAAGTTCAAGAACCAGATCCAGGCATTCCTTTCGTTTCGCAGACATGCTGTTAGGTTGCTCTAATCTACGGCCAATCTAGGTTGCATTGCGGTGGTACGGTGTGATTTCTGGCTAACCTGACAGATTTAAGTGTGGCGTTCTTCCCTCGTCTTCAGTGTGAGTTGGTCCATCTTGGAACCGAATGCGGACAGTAGGATGTCAGGTTGGTGGGTATGTCAACGAGCAGTCGGCGGGAAGCAGTGGCCACGATATTGCAGATCTTGTTTTGTTTGCGTGCATGTTCCGCTTTGATAGTTTCATTGTCAACGTTGCGATCTACACCTTAGGCGATGTTTAAGAAAACCTAAGTTTTCGTCCAAAGTCTCGATTATTCTTAACTTTTCAATGTAAATCCCAAGATTTGTTGATAGAAGTTCTGGGTTTTATTCAATTTCTGAGACCATGAATTTCTTAACCCATGATTTCTTAAGCATTTCGCAGGGTGTAATGATGGTTATCGCCTCATTGTGTGGGCACTGGTCACTGAGCTGCGGAGGTCGGCCTGTCTGCGCACACTTCGTGCACAGTTCACCGACGTGCCCAGTGTGTTCCGCAACACCTGGACTCGCGTCGGGTCGTTTAGGGACACCGTTTCCTGCACGTTGCTTCGCTGCTTGCATCGCACATGCCATTATGGGATAGGAAGATTTGCCTTCCGTTCCCAGGCATTCCCGGCTCTGTTGTTCGCTCTCCGCTGCTGTCCCCGCTTGTCCTTGTCCCTGGCCCTCGTGTCTTGCCCCCCGTCGCCGCCGACTTCCTTCGGCCCTGTCCCGGGCTGTCCCCCGGCCCTGTCGTTTGCCCTCCGCTGCCGCCGATCTCTTTGGGGTCGGGCCCCGTCCGATCCTGTCCCTGGCCCTGGTGTCTTGCCTCCGGCCGCCGCCGACTTCCTTCGGCCCTGTCCCGGGCTGTCCCCCGGCCCTGTCGTTTGCCCTCTGTTGCCGCCGATCTTTTTGGCGCGGCCCCGTCCGATACTGTCCCTGGCCCTGGTGTCTTGCCTCCCGTCGCCGCCGACTTCCTTCGGCCCTGTCCCGGGCTGTGCCCCGGCCCTGTCGTTTGCCCTCCGTCGCCGCTGATCTCTTTGGGGTCGGGCCCGTCTTTGTCGCCGCCGATCTCTTTGGGGTCGGCCCCGTCCCTACCTGTCCCTGGCTCAGGTGTCTTGCCTTCCGCCGCCGCCGACTTCCTTCGGCCCTGTCCCGCCCCCGGCCGTGTCGTTTGCCCTCCGCCGCCGCCGATCTCTTTCGGATCGAACCCCGTCCCTACCTGTCCTTGGCCCTGGTGTCTTGCCTCCAGCCGCCGCCGACTTACTTTGGCCTTGTGTGGCGTCCGCGTGTTGGTCCCGAAAATTCCCCCGCCCGCCCGCGCCCTGTCTCCCCAATTAGTGCTTCGCGCACCCGGCCTAGATCTTAACCAGAAGAGGCCCGCTCTCGACCCGCCGACCAAAAAAGTTGGTCCCGAAAAGCTCTCTTGAAGTAGTTCGAGGTGGACCCCAGTGTAGTCACTTACCTAGGATCATTTGGGGATCGCTTCTCCTCCCCCCCTTCCTCCCTCCTGCTCCCTCCCCTCCTTCCTCCTCCTTCCTCCTCCCTCCCTCCCTGTACTCTTCCTCCTCCTCCTCCTCCTCCTCCTCCTCCTCCTCCTCCTCCTCCTCCCCCCATCCCTCCCTCCTCCGCCTGCCGGGCTGGAGCTGTTAGGTGCTTCCCTCCTTGTTGTCTTTTCTCTGAAGAGCTTTCATGGATTTTTGGATCTGACCCGACCTCCTCTGACTCCCCTGGGGGTTAGGAGGCTGCCTGACTGCATCGGAGTGAAGCGTCTGCTTTTGGCATTCTTTGGTTCGCGATTCGCTCTCGTCGGTTGATCAGAGCTGCAAGCATAAACCAGCAGCGCCTCCCCCTGTTCCCTCCCAGGACCTGGGTGCGAACATAGAGGGCGAGGTAGGGCAGACGGAGGCACCAGCTCCGCTTGGTTGCTGGCTCCACGCAGCCGTGTTTGTCCGCCTCGATCCCCGTTGTGTTGGTCCTCTGGCATGTTCGGTTTTGCTTTTGCTTTTGGTTCGCCAGCCGAACCCATCCTTCCCTCCTTCTCCTCCTCCTTCTCCTCCTCCTCCTCCTTTTCGTGCTTGCCCTCCTTCCCCTTTTCATCATGTCGGCATCGCCCGAGCACTGTTTGCGCGTCGGCCCCTCAAGGGGGCGACGTGCGCGCTATAAGACACCTTACAGCACACGCCTGCGGCGGGTGCTCGCTGGCCATACCGCCAGGGTGTCGCGGTGTACCACAATGTGTTCGTGGCCGACGGGCGCCTCCCCCTATTTTTGTTTTATCCCTTTTCCCTCCCTTTTCCTCTTCCTTCTCCGACAGGGCCAAACCCTGTTCAGAGGGGGGTGCGTAGTACTGGTGTGTCCCTCTGCGCCCCATCATCTCGTTTTCCCTCGTCCCTTCCCCCTCTGGTCCACGGCCGAGGTGCTGAAAGAGCTGCAGCGGGAGTTCCGCCGGCCCGCGGAGGAGGGCCTGTGGCATCCTGAGCTGGAGCGCCTACGACCTTCCAAGGCGCCCCCCCTGTCGCGGTGGATCAGTATCGTTTAACTGACCCCCATCCCCATCCTCATCACCTTCGAGACCCCCACCAAACTACCACCCCCAGTTTGGGATACATCCCTCGAAAGCCGAATGGAACGGCGTACATCCCCATCTAGGGAGGTACATCGGCCAGTGGGGCCCATGCCACGCCGCTGGGGATGGGGGGCAGATAAACGATGCTCAGTGGAGGGGATGAAGAGCAGGAGGAACATATCCACGGCCTCGAGGTCTGGACTACCAGGCCGCGACCCAGTGGAGGCAGGGCGGCGTTGTGCGGATGCCACGCGCGGAGCGCCTCCACGGGATCGCGTACGACAGGAAGCGACGAAGTTTACGGATACGGAGCCGTGTCCTCGAAAGCAGTGCGACAGGTGAGCAGTTGCAGCGAATTCGGCCAAACCTGGATGGGTCGTGACGACTGCGATGAACATGCCTTTCGCTTGCCCGCTTGCTCGCGCAGATCGCCACACCGAGAGAGCTGTCTTGTGCTCGCTCGTGGCTCGAGCTTGCGTGATCAACTCTCTGGTCGTCTCGCTCGGCAGTTGCTTAAGACCGCAAGGCTCAGGGATGCGTGTTAGGGCAGCCTGGCTGGCGGCTCCAGCCTGCTCTACGCGGAACTCTTCCACGTCGGAGTGCTTTCCCCTCCTCATGTACCCGCGCGGCCGCCCTCGTCTTCTTGCCTTCCTTTTGCACGCCGGAGAATTCGCCTGCTGGTTGCCCCGAATTGCAACACGCTGAAGCGGACCGCCTCTGCCTCGCCGCCGACAGAAAGTGTTGGGGTAGCCTGTTTCTTGCTCGGCTGATCTGGACATTGAATCGGTATATTGTGCGTGGGCGTTCATACTTCTGCCTTGCCCGATGGGTCTGTTCCGAGGCACGCTCGCCATGAGCCTATTCTCTGGCCGGGCCGCCTGCTTGGCGCAGTGTTTCTGTGCCTGCTTGCAGTTCGCCTTCGCATGAGTCTTCCTGATCTTTCGGTTTGGCTGCTGTGTGTGGTGGGTTGAGGGCGCCGAAGCTTACAGCAGGCGATGCGTGCGTTATTGCTTTCCCGACAGGTTCAACGTCTTGTTTTCAAAGATGTGCGTTTTGTGTATGCTATGTTATTTTGTTTTTCACTGTCGCAAGTAGGCGTGCAGCTGCTCTCTCTACCTCGTAGTCGATTTGCGTTGGTCGTCCGACCAGCCCCACGCGCAACGCCCAATCTGTTTTGAACACGTATGAGTTTCCGCGCCGTTTTCTTTTCTCCTTGTTTCTCTCCCTCTCTCCCTCCTGTTTGGATGGTCGTTTGTGGGGACCTGCTTGGGGCCCACCTGACGGATCTGTTGGAATCTAGTCGAATCTAGCTCGACGCACGTTCGACTCGCGTTCGGTTCAAGTTCGACACGAGTCGAGCATCGGACTCTCTCTGTCTCTGCTCTTTCTCTCGTCTCTGCATCGGTCCTTATCCTTACTCGCTGAAAGTTCGGAATCAGTGATTCTTGTTTTTTTCCATCCACCGTTGTGAGTCAGGTCTTTATGCAGCTTGTGGACTTCTCGAAGGACTGGCGTGGAAATCCTGGCCCAGACAGACTCGACAGTCCAGAGGGGCACGCCCTCTCTTAGGCTTCATGCAGAGACTAGTTCTCTTTGTGTGTCTGTTGCACGCGATAGTCCATATTGCTATATTCTGACACCGCTGGGCAGGACTGTTCTGTCGCTTCGTTGGGGATCGTGGTGAAGTCATACATCAAAAGTCGTTTTTTTGTTATTAAAAAACATCAAACGTAGGATTTGTTTTTACATCGTGGCTGTGCAGAAACATCGGTTCGATTTCGGGATCGGAGATTTTTGCACCATCCTTGATTGCCGTCGAGAATGTCATAGTATCTTTCTTTGTGGCATGTTATCTTTGGATTTATTCGTTCTGTTGGTGGAGCGTGATGTGGAGGTGTTGCAGCAGGTGTGGCAGCAGGCGACGCTGAAGAGAAACCATACGACGAATGTAGCGCACATATCACGTTTCATTATTGTTGGGAAGCCAATTCTTGTATGTGGTTGCTTGTGACTTATGATGTGTATTTCGTACAGCATGGAGTCCCTGTGAGTGCTGAGGTGATGGCGGCGATGATAGCCATATCTTCGGTTGATGGTCGCGTGTGTTCGTCATCAACGCGCCGGGAGGTGTATCTTATGTGGTTACGGAGCTGGGTTCGTACAGCTTGAAGGACCAACGCTGTATGTGTAGATAATGCTGCATGTAGAGGGAGGATCTGAACAGCTGGTGGGGAGTAAGGTTGGGTCGCCCGTTTTGCTGCGAGGACGACGAAAAGTGCAAGCATCTCGAAACATAAATGATTGAATGTCCCGCTTGTTTTGAACTCTACCTGTTGGCACATGCTTCTTGACACCATTGGGATCCCGTCGTCGCGATTAGCTCAAAGCGCTTGGATTCGCGTAAGTGGCACTCTGTGGCCGTCAGTTGAATTTCGAGAGTCCATTCGAGACGCACAAGTGTCTTCAATGTAACTCGGAGGATCTCTCTTTCTCTCTCTTTCTCCTTCTCTTTCCGGTCTATGTTTATATACCTGCGCATTTATATGTTTTTTGGTCCCCCGTCCTTTCCGTCTATCCATTTGTCTATCCATTTGTCTGAGCCAGACGTTGCTCTTGCGCTTGTGTCTGTGTCTCCGTGCCTGTTTTTCTCTGTCTCTCTCTCCCTCTCTCTCTCTTTTTCTTTTATAGATATATAGTTGTCTCTCTCTCGCTCTTTGTTGTTATCTTCTATGTGTCTTTACATCGCCTGTGTATGTGTATCTGCCTCGGTCTTAGTATCTGTCTTCGTCCTCGTCTCTGTTTGCAAATGGCCGTATCTGTGTCCCTGACTTGGTCTCTGTGTCTCTGTTTCCTCCTGTTGCTCCTCGTCTTCCCTAGCATCCTTTCTCTTTTCCTTCCGCTCTTTCTGCTCTTTGTCTTTCCTTTCGCTCGTCCTTATCATCCGTCTGAGAAGAGTTAGCGATATTATCACATGATGTCAGCTCCGGCCCGTAACCGCCTAAACAGAGTTCGTGCAGCTTATGCGGCGCAGCGCACATCAACGCAGAGCAAAGCGAACCAACACAAGGCAATCAAGCAAGTCCTGAGCCAGCGCGCGAGCAATCGTCTAGAGTGCACGTGCGCAACCTGCGGCAGTATTCAGGCATTTCAGGGAGAGCGCGCAACCCATTGCGCAACCTGGGCGCAACCCATGGAACCCGACCAGCTTCACAGCCAGCGCGGACAATGGATTGCGTATCCGCCTGGTGAATCCTCTCGTACTCAAGAGTTCCTGGGCGAGCGCACAGACTATTGCGCAACCCACGTGCGCAACCCGTGGCACCGAGGAAATCCCAGGCGAGCGCCGAGCGATTGCGCAGCCCATGGGCGCGGCGCAACCCGTGGTTCCCACATTCTTTTTGGGCGGGAGCGCGCACGATTTCGCAATCCATGGGCGTGACTGCGGCCCTGACCGCGCCACCTGCACCCACTCTTTCCCTTGGCAGCATGTGCAACGTTTTGCCTGTGTCTGCTGCGACGCTAACCGACGGCCCGCCCTGCAGGATTATCTCCGCCAGCGCAAGCGAGATCGAAATCCCATGTCAGTGGAGACGGTGAGGGGCCTGACGAAGACGATCGTGCTGGTCGTCGCTGCTTTACACGCGAAGGTGCTCATTCTCTTCCTCGTTCTCCTCCTGCCGCTGCCGCTGGTTTGGCCGCGCCCAGGGTTCAAATTTCGGGGTCTGGCCCAGGCAGCCAGATCACGAGATTCCCAGCTCTGGCCAATGAGCCTCCTGCCCATATGCTGAGGCATCCGTTATTCCCAGCCCTCCAGCATGAGAAACATCATTTTCCCTTATTATTATTATATATATATGTTCTCTCTCTCTCTCTCTTTCCTTCCCCCCGTGCTTGTCTTATCATCGATGCGTGCGTGTGTTTAGGAGCTTTTTCTTCCATCTTTCGCATGTATCTTGCGCGGTGGGTCGTTTTTTTTATTGTTGTTTTTTTTTTTTTTGTTGTCTGAGTGTTCCGGGCGGGCAGGAGGTGCTTACGAAGCCCTTGAGCCTCACAGGGCGCCCATACAGAGGGCGACGCTGTCTTGACAGCTGCAGGCCGCCGTTCACTTGCTTCTCTCGCGCCGCCCCGTGCCAGTGAGTCAGGCTCCTCCTCCAGCGGGCACTTCCTTCTCCTTCGGCGAGCGGTGGGGGAAGGGAGAAGGGGTGGTCCTGCTCAGATGGCTCGGACGTCCCCCGGCCTCCTGAGAAGTTTTCTGGGTCTTCCCCAGCGAAGAAATAAAACAACTCCCCCAAAGGCGCGAGGGGCCTCGGAGAAGCCCCGCCGCCTCCTGAGAATGCCGTTTCCTTCTCGCTTCCCCCCCTCGCTCGTCGCCGACAGAATTTCGAGGCTGATTAGGAGCAGGAGGAGGAGGAGGAGCAGGAGCAGGAGGAGGAGGAGGAGGAGGAGGAGGAGGAGGAGGAGGAGGAGGGGAGGAGGAGGAGGTGGAGGAGGAGGAAGAGGGAGGAGGAGGAGGAGGAGGAGGGAGAAATGGAGGGGGAGGGGGCGGAGTGGGGGAAGGGGGAGGGGGAGGAGGAGGAGGGAGAACGGGAGGGGGAGCAGTCTCCTTCTCAGTTTCCCCCCTCGCTCGCCGCCAATTCCTACAAGGGGCAGGGGCAGCAGGCACGGGCGGGAGAAGCTGCGCGCGGCGCCTTCAGGGCCTGGTGCACCTGGACCTGAAGGCGCGCGAGCCCGGCGGGTGCGGGCCCGCGAGCGCGCCGCGGCGTCGAGGGCGGCCAGGGCTCGCCGGCGCGCACGGCCTCCGCCAGTGTGCGGGCCAGTGGCGGCTCGTCATGAGTACAGTCGGCCCGCATGGCAAGGATGGGCAATTTTCCTAATGGTACCCTTGCATCCTTGCCTCCTCGGTCCATCCTTGGCCACTTTCGCTGGCCGCGCCCCGGTCGAGAAGCTTCGAAATGGCCTTCACGGCTTTTGCATCCTTGTCGTGCATCCTTATTCTACGCATCGATTTTAAGCGGCATAAACATAAGCTTTTGGGATTTCGCGCGAATTTCTTGGCTCGTCGCTGCTTCCCCTCCTCGTTGAGGGGCAAAGCTCTGCAACAAGCGCTGGGGCAGCACTTCGCATGACCCCCCTCCGGCCCCTGGCCTTCACACGGAATAAGCGTTCTCAGAGGAGCAGGCCTGGAAAAACTTGAACCGAACACTTCGAACGCAATACCTACTACTGTGAAGGCCAGGGGTGGAGGGGGTAATTTGGTTCTTGATCTTTCTGGCGTTCTTGTTGAATTTTTGATGTTTAAAGTGCTTATTGTTGATCCCCCCTCAGGTAGCCATTACATTTTTTCAGTTGAAGTGCCCTCTTCGGGGCTCGCACCTTGTTTTTTTTAACCAGAGAAAAGTTTGTTTCACCAAGCTGGGTTGTTGGGCCCCGAACTACAACAACAACGGCTCCCTTTTGATACTTCCTCACAATTTATTGCAGAATCGCGCTTTCGCGTGGGACTTCCTAATAATTTATGCAAGAATCGCGCTATCCCGTGGGACTTCCTCGCAATTTATTCAGACGCCGCTCCCTTGACACCCAGGAGTCACGCTCTCGCTCTGGCCTTTCTCATGATTTACTCCGGAAGCGTGCCATCGCTCGAGTTCTCCTCGCGATTCATGCAGGACTCACGCTTCAGCAACCCGCCTTCTTGTTCTGGCCCCTTGGGCCCGCTTTCCCGACCCGCCCGTTAGGGTTTACCCGCCCGATGGGCCCGTCTGGTTTTGCCACGTGTTTTCTGCTCCCAGCCCCCCTCCTGCTAATCCTGCTCCCTCCTTCTCCCTCCCCTTCCCATCCGTTCTCCCTTCCCCCGTTTCAGGGGCTGAACCATTTACACGCAGCATGTCAGGAAGATGTGCCCCTAAGGGGGTACGATCGAATACGAAGAGGGCGGGCATCAAGGGTTTGGGATCTACGTTTTGAACTGCACGCGTGCAGATCAGAGCGAGCAGTCTTAACAAAAATGATAGTTGTTGAATTCTCATTTCTAAATCGTAGTTTTTGTTGATCTCCCTCGCCGGTAGCCGTTGCATTTTTTATTACAGTGTTTCTCTTGTGGTTTGCATTTTTTGCTACAAGGGAAAGCGAGATGTCACCAAACTGGGTTGTTGGGGTCCGAACTACAATAACAACGGCTCCCGCCAGATACTTTCACATAATGTATGACAGAATCGCGCTCTCGCGCTGGACTTCTTCACGATGTATACAGGAATCGAGCCCTCGCGTGGGACTGCCTCGCCATTTGTTCAGACGCCGCGCTCTCGACGATCAGGAATCGCGCCCTCGCTGTGGATTTCTTGACGATTCACTTGGGAATCGCGCTATCGCTCGAGTTCTCCTCGCGATTCATGCAGTACTCACGCTTTGAGCGCCCGCCTGCTCGACTTGGCCGCTTGGGTCCGCTTCCCCGACCCGCACGTGAGGGTCTACCCGCCCGATCTGCCCGTCTGGTTCTGCCACGTGTTTTCTGCTCCTAGCCCCCGTCCCTCTACTCTCTCTCTCGTGCTCCATCTTCCCCCCTCCCCATTGTCCTTTCCTTCCATCCGTCCTCTCTTCCCCTGCCTCAGGGGCTGCACGAAATGCACGTTGCAAGTAACGCGTATCTATAGATCTGTATAGACATTCAGATACCCCCAAGGGGGTACGATCGAAGACGGCAAATTCGGATATCGGGGGTTTGGGATACACGTGTTGAATGGCCCGCGAGCAGATAAGAGCGACTAGTCTTACATTGGTTGCTGCTGTCGATGTTGATGATGCTGTTGTTGTTGTAGCTGCTGCTGTTGTTGTTGTCTTTATGCCGTGTTGTTTTTGTTGCTGTCATTGTTGTAGTTGTTGCTGTTGCTGTTGTTGTTGTTGTTATTGTCGTTGTTGTTGTTGTTGTTGTTGTTGTTGTTGTTGTTGTTGTTGTCGTTGTCATGTGTTGTTCTCTTATGTTGTTGTTGCTGTTGTTGTTGTTGTTGTTGTTGTTGTTGTTGTTGCTGTCGTCGTCGTCGCTGTTGTTGTTGTTGTTGTTGTTGTTGTTGTTGTTGTTGTTGTTGTTGTTGTTGTTGTTGACTGTTAAGTACTAAACAATTTTTGTTGTTGGACCCCCCCAGGCGCCCTGGCGCTCTCCCCTCGGCGCTGGCTACATTTTTATTGAAAATGAGGTTCACGCTCGAGCGGTATGAGGGGGCGCCCAAACCGGCCCCCCAACAACAACAACGCTCCCGCTCGTGACCTCCTTTTTTACCTGGGGCTGGTGCTCTTGCTCGCCGCCGAATACCGCCGCCCCAACGCAACCAACGCTCCCGCTCGAGACTTCTTCCCGTTTTACCTTGGACTGGCGCGCTACTCTTTCTCTCATCGGCGGCGCCCCCAGCAAGAACAGCGCTCCCGATCGAGACGTCCTCCTTTTTTACTCAGAGCCGGCGCTTTTTCTCGCCGCCGAAAACCGCCGTCCCAACAAAACCAGCGCTCCCGCCCGAGACGTCCTCCCGTTTTACGCTGGACTGGCGCCCAACTCTCTTTTAGATTGGCGCCGCCCCCAGCAAGAACAACGCTCCCGCTCGAGGCTTCCTCCCTTTTTCCTGAAGACGGTGCTGTTCCTAGCCGCCGACAGCCCCCGTCCCGGCAGAACCACGGCTCCCGTTCTAGACTTCTTCCCTTCTTACTCAAGGCGTTGTTCCTCCTCGCCGCCGACAACCGCCGTCCCAACAGAACCAGCGCTTCCGCTCGAGACTTCGTGTTGTTTCACGCTAGACTAGCGCCCTACTCTCTTCTGCATTGGCGCCGCTCCCAGCAACAACAGCACTCCTGCTCGAGACTTCCTCCCTTTCTATTCAGGGCCAGGTCCTTGTCTCGCTGCCGACAGCCCCCATCCCCACCAAGCCAATCCTGTCGCTCGATACTTTTTTGTGCTGTACCCTTGGCTGGGGCTCCACTGGCGGTCTCTCATCGGTGCAGCAGGGCGCGGGCATGTGTTTTCGAGGCGGGATATGTCGAAATTCCTCGGAGGAGGTGTTTGCAGGACCTCATTGGGCGGGAGATCTGGTAATGGGAATAACGGACCCCCGCGATAGAACAAGGATCCCCCATGATGGGGATGGTTATCATGATGGTCGCATGCTTCGTGTGGAAGCATCGCGCATGAGGGTAAAAAGGATTGTTGTTGTTCTTGTTGTTGCCATGGTTGTTGTTGTTGTTGTTGCTGTTGTTGTTGTTGTTGTTGTTGTTGTTGTTGTTGTTGTTGTTGTTGTTGTGTTCGTCATCGTCATCGTCGTCGTTGTTGTCGTTGTCGTTGCCGTTGCCGTTGTCGTTGTCGTTGTTGTTGTTGTTGTTGTCGTTGTCGTTGTCGTTGTCGTTGTTGTTGTTGTTGTTGTTGTTGTTGTTGTTTTTGTTGTTGTTGTTGTTGTCGTCGTCGTCGTCGTCGTCGTCGGCGTTGTTGCTGTTGTTGTTGTTGTTGTTGTTGTTGTGTATGTTGATGTTGTTGTTGTTGTTGTTGCTGTTGTTGTTGTTATTGTTGTTGTTATTGTTTTTGTTGTTGTTGCTGCTGTTGTTGTTGTTGTTGTTGTTGTTGTTGAACTCTCATTACTGACGAATCGTAGTTGTTGGTCCTCCCTTCGGTTGCCATTGTGCTTTTTTCAAATGAAGTGCTTCCCCCGGGGCTCGCACCCGGTTTTTCATTAGGGAATTCATTCGGCCTCAAATGCGTTGTTAGTCCCTGGATTACAACAAGAACGGCTCCCGCTGGAGGCTTCCTCGCACTTTAGCCAGGACCCCCTCTCCCTCCTGAGACGTCCTTGCATTTTACGCAGGAGTCGCGCTCTCGCTTGGGACTTCTTTACAATTTCTTCAGGAATCGCTCTCTCGGCGCTCTGGAGTCGCGCTCTCGCTGGAGACTTGCTTGCAGTTTATTGAAGAGTCGCGCCCTTGCGTTGGAGTTTCCAGCAATTTACTCAAGCGTCGCGCTCCCGACACTCAGGCACCCAGGAGTCGCCTTCACGCTTAGGTCTCCCTCACAGCTTATTTAGGAATCGGGATCTCGCTGCCCTTCGTGGCCCCGTTGCAGCCCTTCGTGGCCCCCTCGCTGCCCTTCGTGGATCCGTTGCAGCCCTTCGTGGCCCCCTCGCTGCCCTTCGTGGCCCTGTTGCAGCCCTTCGTGGCCCCCTCGCTGCCTTTCGTGGCCCTGTTGCAGCCCTTCGTGGCCTCCTCGCTGCCCGTCGTGGCCCCGTTGCAGCCCTTCATGGCCCCTCTTCGCCCTTCGTGGCCCTGTTGCAGCCCTTCGTGGCCCCCCTGCCCTTCGTGGCCCCGTTGCAGCCCTTCGTGGCCCCCTCGCTGCCCTTCGTGGCCCTGTTGCAGCCCTTCGTGGCCCCTTCGCTGCTCTTCGTGGCCTCGTTGCAGCCCTTCGTGGCTCCCTCGCTGCCCTTCGTGGCCCTGTTGCAGCCCGTCGTGGTCCCCTCGCTGCCCTGTGTGGCCCCATCTATGTATGCCCTTCGTGGCCCCCGCTCGTTCGCGCTCGTCGTGGCCCCATATGCATGCGCTTGTTGGCCCCGCTGTCGCCCTTCATGGCCCCATCGCTGCCCTTCGTGGCCCCCTTGCTGCCCTCGGTGGCCCCGTCCTTGCCCTCTGCGGCCCAATGTACGTGTGCCCCTTCGTGGCCCCCGCTCGTTCGCGCCCGTCGTGGTCCCATATGGATGCCCTTCGTGGCCACGCTATCGCCCTTTGTGCCCCCCTCGCTGTCCTACGTGGCCCCGTTGTCACCCTCAGTGGCCCCGTCGTTGCCCTCTGTGGCCCCGCATTATCTGCCCTTCGTGGCC